ATGCAAAAACTACAAAATTCTTCTCTACCATATAAACATTGCTTTGGGCTTTCCAAGGGCAGGGATGGGGGTAGGGGCATTGCAGATCATTGGTGCATCAGATTATACTTCTACAGAGATTTGATTACAAAGATGGTCAGACATTAAGCTGTTCTCACTCAAGTCAAACGAAGCTTGTCTTTGTTCTTGATATTCCCATACTGACACTTTCCTTAGAATATTATGTTGCTGTCTTGCCAATTGGGTTTCTTACAGTTAATGAGAGTTTTGAAACCCAAAGTTACCTACCTTCTCTACCATTTCCTGTCCTTGACCCACATATTAGAAATGAATCGTTCTAATGTCTTCACATAGTTGAGGCTCAATAGGAGTGTTCTAAGTATGACAACTCAAAATGAGAAACTGCACTTTAAGAATTATAGTAGTGGTATGGATAAGGCCAGAAGATGTGGACAGTGACAGAAGAAAGAGGAAATGGTAAAGGGTGAGAAGAGTGAGGGCCAGACCCCAACCTTGACAACTGTGGGCAGCATGACCCACATACTACCCAGTGCTTCTGAGTCTCAGGTTTTGCATCATGAAAATGAGGATGATAAGGTTATTTTAAGAATTATGTTAAGGTGGGGCTAGAAAGATGACTCAGCAGTTAAGAGTACTGACTGCTATTGCAGATGACCTGGGTTCAATTCTCAGCACCCACGTGGTGGCTAACAACCATCTGTAACTCCAATTCTATGGGAATCCAATGCCCTCTTCTGACCTCTGCAGGCATTGCATGACATGGGTATACTTGCATACATGCAGGCAATATACTCATACAATGAAGATAAAAATAAAATATTTTTTAAAAAGAATTACATTGAGGCATTTATATATGTATACAATATACTTGACACACTTTCTAGTAAAAATGTAATATAGTGCTAGAGTGTAGTTTGATATATGGTAGTTATTGCATCTTCTCTGATATAGGATAGTTCTAAAAAATAAGGAGCATTATTCACATGTTCTTGACACAAATCACCATTCTGTATTAATTTGCTGTCTGACTCTTCTTGGTTGTTGTATGAAGGCAATAATGGAACTCCAGTGTAGAGGACCACCTTGGATTTCTCCTGCTGGAGACTAGGAAGTGTGAATGCCAGAAGGGCATACATTTTTAAAACAGGTCTAGTCTCAAGGCAGCACAGATAAACTACTTCAGTGAGTTTTCCCAAGATGACCACATCCTCCTTCTGGGTCAAGATTTGTGAGCATCCTCAGTGTCTCATTCACTGGAGCAAGCACGTGGTAAAAACATCTTCTGTGTGTCAGCTCTTCTCACAATTTTCTTTCTTTCCTCTTCCTCCTCCTCCTTCTCATCCTCTTCTTTTTTAATTTATTTTTATTTTATGTGTATGAGTGTATTCCCTGCATGTATATAAGTGCATCTATGTCATTCGATGCCCACAGTGGTCAGAAGAGGGCATCAAATTTGGAACTGGAGTTACAAATGGTTGTTAGCCACCATGTGGGTGCTGGGAAATGAACCTGGGTCCTCTTCAAAAGCAACCAATGCTCTTAACCACTGTGCCATCTCTCCAGCCCCTCTCTTTCTCTTCTTAGTCTCCTTTGTGAGACAGAGTCTCACTGTATAGCCTTATCTGGCCTGGAACTCACTACATAAACTAAGCTGGCCTTGAACCTGGAGTGATCTTCCTCCCTCTTGAGTGCTGAGATTACAGTCATGCACCACTATACCAAGCATCATAGCTTACCTCTTTGTCTTTCCAGTGACCTGGGAGATCATCAGCAGTAATGTTCCTTGTGTTATTGATGGAATACAGAGGAATAAGGTTGCTTGCCCAAAATTTGAGTATGAGAGAGGAAACCAAACACAATGGTGATGTTATACCAGCTCAATTCTATCATAGTTATTTGTGATTTTGTATCAGTTTGTCAGAAAAATATTCTGGTATCTTCATTACCATAAAAGCATTTCTTATCAGTAGTCAGCCCCAATGTAGCACCATCAGCATCAGGTCCCATTACCTAGTGGGAAAAAAAAAAGTAGTAAGGATGTTATGGGAGCGATTTATATCCAATAGAAGCCATTGGCAAAGTAATTCACAATGAGAATGAAAGGGAATAAGAAAATGAGGTGTGTTTAGACTTGCAAAATATCTTTGGAAAGGTTAATGTATTTTTTCAGAGATGGAGAAATGCTTTGATCTTGATGCTTAAAATAATGAAACAATGCAAGAATATAAGGACGTTTCTGTGGCTCACATAGGTAATGGTGCCTGCAAGCTATCAGCATGGGGACCACACTTAGTTAGCATATCCATAAATCATCTGTAAGGAGGACGAAGAGAAATCCCCAGATTTGCAAAACCCCATTATGCGGTTCCACATAAAATGCCAAGCTGAGTAACAGAAAGACAGCACTGGGCTACGTGAGGGGGCAGAAGGATAGCAAAGTTCCCTCCGATAGCGCCTTCTGTGTGGACCTCTGGAAGATAAGGAATTTAAAGAGAAATAATCCAAATCATTCTCCCAAGACTAAAGGGATTTGAGCTATCAGCTATAGCAAAATTACAAGATTTTACAATCAATACGTACCTTAGTACAACTCCTCCCCTATCTCCCCATCACTTCTTTCTGACAACTTCATGTATATATTCGTATTCATACTGCAGTCAAAATATCAGCCCTCCATCAGGTGTACATAAAAAGAAAATCTTAAGAAGGGCATTAAAAACAGAAAACAGTGTCCTCAAATAGAAAGCCATGGTTCACTTATTCCTGGAATATTCTGAGCCATATTTTTCAACAAATCTTAAGCAGTCGTGATGGGCTGGGAGAATGTCCAGAGAAAGCTAAGTGAAATGATGGCCAGGAAAGAAAAGCTGCTTTTTGGAAAACACATTTGCAAACATTGGGATTCATCAGCCTTGGAAGATGAATTTACAAAATCATAGGAGTATGACGCAGGGAGACATGTAGACATTCAACTTAGCATTTACCATCCCGCCATCATCACCAGACATGGAGCAGGGGATGGATATAAAACAAGCAGAGTATAATGCTGTTTAAAACCTCAATCAGGGTCCACAAGCTTGCTCAGCATGTAAAGACACTCTTGCCACCAAGCCTGAAAAACTGAGTCAAATTCCATGAACCCCCATGGGAGAAGGAACAAACCAACTCTCCCAAACTGTCCTCTGATCTCCACATGCGTTCTGTGGTGCACACACACACAACACATAAAAAAGAAATGCCAAAAATAAATAAATGTAAAAAGTGTTTTAAACATAAATCAATTTACACAGAAAGGTCAACAGGTGAGTAACCCAACACTAGTTCCAGGTAGCATAAAATACATATCAAAGAAATTTCAGTCCCTCATCTGTAAAACTTGATAGGAGTGGAAAAAGAATTTGCATAACTGGTAACTACTTAACTACTTTGGAGACTAGTTACCTATCAAGATGTTATATCCTAGGGTACACATGGGTACAGAAGGGAAAAATATTTTCAGTAGATTTATAATTTATTGTTTTGAAAAGTGATATTGGGCAATACACCCAAAACTTCACAGTGTTTACCTTTGAGTAAAACAAGCTTTAGACTCAAGCAAACCTAATGGAGATCCCAAGGGTCTCCACACACTGGCTCTTGGGTAAGTAACCTAGCCACTCTCAACCATGGTTTATCTATAAAGCAAGAAGAAGCCCTTCCAGAGAGGGATGTTGGGAAGACTGAGCGGGCAATATCTGCCAAGCAGGAGGAACAGGACTGGGGACTGAGGCTCCACAGTACAAAATTCCCTCTGATAGTTCCTCTACAGCATGTCACTGAAAACACCATCCTTGGAAACCCAATCTACCCCAAGAGGGCAGCGCTGGCACCTGCTCTACCCCTAACTTACCTACTGTTATCTTTATTCATATCCATTCTTTTGTGTCCATGGGGCCCCTGTTGTTTCAAGCATTACTTCAGGCATTGCAGAAATAATAGTGATAAACAAATCCCAGGGCTAGGGCTTTGCTCTTAAGAAGCTCACATGGGGAGGCTGGTGCATGAACACATCAATGAATCAATGAAGTCATTTCGGAGAATGGTTTTCTTTAAAAAAATAATAATAAATAGGGGCTGGAGGAGATGGCTCAGCAATTAAGAGCACTGACTGCTCTTGCAGAGGACCCAGGTTCGATTCCCAGCACCCACATGGCAGCTATGAACTGTCCTTAACTCCAGTTCCCAGGGAATCCAAAGCCCTCTTCTGACCTCCGCGGCATTGCACGACACAGGTGCACTCACATACATACAGGCAATACACTCATAAAATAATAAAAATGATAAAATATTAAAAAAATAAACATACATGGCAAGGGACAGGTGGTGGGGCCATGGAGCTGTTCTTTGCTTGAAAAGGTGGGAAGAAGTCTTTCTGGGAGATAACATTTCAGCAACTGAAGGACAGAGGGATGTGAAATGTGGTCATCTGAAAATCTCCAAGGGAACATTCTAGGCAGATACTGAAGGAGGGTAGACATCCCCAGGTGAAATAAGTGGGCTTTTTAAGGCATGGTCACTCAGGCCTGTGTGACTGAGCAGCCCATGTAGAGGGGAGGCACTCAAGGATATGGATAGAGAGCAGCAGAGTCCACCAGGTATGTTATCTGTGAGGCCAGGGGGAGCTTAGTTTTAATTCTAAGAGCAATAGGAGCATTTTCAGCCTGTCATTGGTAAGAGCTGTTTTGTGGTTTTGAGGGATCTGAAAGCTGTAACGGAGAGTGGGACTCTGGGAGCGTTTCTGCTTTCTCTCTCTACCCCAGGCTTCCTGGCTGCTACTCACTCCAGTCTCTCAAGTCCAGAGTGTGCCCCTGATTTCACACCCAGTCTCTCACAAAGCAGGGTTAATGTTGCACAAACCTCTTTACACTTCACATGTACAAATTCTTTCTTTTTTTTTCTTTCTCAAATGAAATAGTTAACCCAAATACATGTTGTTTCAGGTTTTAAAAATCAATTTGATTGGCCACAGGAAACGCATTTTGGCATCTCTGGGAGACAGACTGCACGACGATCCTCCACAGAAGCCCCCTCGGTCCATCACCCTCAGGGTAAGTGCCACCACATCCATTTTGCTTTCTGCCCTTCTCCTCAAAAAGTATGTTGTGCAATAAAATGACTAAAGCAGTGGATGAGGAAATGCAGGCTGGTTTCCACAGAGCTAGCCTTATCTGTATAGAAAACAATCTCCCTTTCAATTGTGTTTGGCTTTCTCGATATATAATTCAGAGATTTAGAAATACATGACAACAGAATTCAGCCTGGCTAAGCACCACCTTTAAAGAATCACTCCTTCACCCCCATTCTCTCTCTCTCTCTCTCTCTCTCTCTCTCTCTCTCTCTCTCTCCCTTTCCTACACCAAGAGAGAGGAAATGACTTTTCTGTCAGACTCCTCAAACACACAGAAAAGAAAACAATCAAAGACCACAGTTAAGTAAAAATTCATTTAAAATTAACCTCAGGGTCTTCTGTTTCTCAAGAAGTGAAAATTGGCCTTTTTTATTCACTTAAAAAATTAAGAATATAGACACTAAAACTTTATTTAGTAAACTACAATTGTTTCCTTCAGCTATATTTTAGAGTCATGGGGTAGAGAAACTGGAAGGTAAGATGAAGGGAAGGAAGGTGAGAAGGAGAGGTAAAGAGAGGGAGCCAGAGGATTTCCTGGCAAGATGGCAGTTGCGGAGAGCAGCTGGCAGTCACTGATTTTCATGACACCTACATGGTCTTTTCTAAAGCCCGTTAGAAAGCTGAAATCGCCCTGGAAAACTCAGCTCTCTGCTAAGTCCTGCACATGCTTGCACTAACTCCCGTTCCTGTCATGCATGCATCAGGAGGAGAAGCAGCAAAGGATGAACACAAGCACGGCCCTTGGTGCACCTGCCGCTGGGGAAACGCCCCTGGTGGGTGACTTCAACCATGAGCGGGCCACAGTCAGCATGGCAGAGGGCTGAACAGGACAGATTTGCTGGGTTGGTGAGGCTGATTCAGCTTTGAAGAAGAAAATAAGCTGAGTTCATGGGATGGAAGAGAATTGGCTCCAGGAGGGAGCCAGAAGGAAAGTGGATTACTGGAGTATGTTAGGATGCTTGTAGGCTACATGATGGCTTTGGGAGTGGTGAAAGCAGAAATAGGACTCATATTTCTCCCTCCAGAAGAGAGGAGCTTCCAAAAAAATTTTTAATGAGGCTAGAAAGGGCTTAATGTCTGGTTGCCTCATACTCCATGGTAGGGGCCAAGTCTCCAGGCACAATCAGTGGAATTGCTGAGCACACTCTTCAGAGGAGTCCTTCCCATCTATTTCTCCCCTCCCTGACCTTTCCCTTTGGAACCTCTCACTCTGGCTCTCCAGAAGAGACTTGGGGAAACAGCAAATTGGTCAAAGACAGAAGGTCCCCAGCAGAAGTAGATCTAACTCTGCCAAAGGAGGTTGGGAACGTCTAGGGGAGTAGTGACCTGGAGAATCTGATGAGTGCAGTCCTCTTCTGACTTGTGAATGCCAGAGCTCAGCCACTGCCATCCCTCACCTTACTTCTGGCGGGTCTGCAGCTGGAGTTGTCTTTGCTGTTGAAAAGCATCCTTTGTCATTATATGCATTGCTCTGCAGTCTGTACGTCGTGTGACATGCTGTGTTGCCATACTGTGTCCTCTTCCCAGCCCTATTGTCAGACCACACTTTGGTGGAGGATCAAGACCTATCTGGTCCCACGTTAGCCTCTTGTCATGGCATCCATGGTGATGAGGGTGCACTGACCACTGATCTTTCCCTGGTAAACATGCGACAGTGTCTGGGGTGCCCGACAGAGATGTGCCTCCCTCCTGAGGTCATCTAAAACATTGGGCTAAGAAAACCGAGCCTGATTCTTTATGTTTTAAATCTTTGACCTGAAATACCTGGGAGATGGGAGTATTGACTTGATCACATCATTAACAGAAATAGCAGTCAAACATTATCTATCCCTTGGCAGTTGATTGAAAACAACTCCTACCCCCTATAGTTTGTTGTGTTAGTATTTCAAAATTTTGAAACCAAAGGTTAGCCACAACAGCATGGTATTTATTTCATGATGTATTTCCATTCAGGAACCCAGTGGTAATCACACTCCTCCTCAGTTGTCTCCATCACTTAGCCAAAGCACTTACACCACTGGTGGCTCCCTAGACGTTCCTCACATTATCATGCAGGGCGATGCAAGGAGGAGAAGAAATGAAAACTACTTTGATGATATTCCCCGATCAAAACTGGAGAGGCAGATGGCTCAGGTAAGGTGTTCAAAGCCTCTGTGATGTGTTTGCCTTTCACCCGTAGCAAGTAATGCATTCAAATATTGAATGATAGTTCACAATGGATGCCTACTGCCCATGGCTAACTTGAACTTCACCATTTTATAAAGTGTGCTTCATTCTCTGCTCTCTTGAACTAGCTTGGACCAGTCCCTCCTAGGAGATGAATATACATCTATATACATATATATGTATGTATCATACCATTGCTACCCATTCTTAATGAAGAAATTATATCTGGTTTCATTGTACCCACAAAGTCTTTTCCTAAAAAGGAAAAAAAAAACTGGGCCAGAATCAATTCATAATGAAAATTAGTAATAAAACACTAGGTTTTAAATGTAAATTGGTTGGATAACAGGACAGAGGTTTTGGGGGAAAGATGAAGTTCGTGCAATGTCATTTCCTCCCAAGCTGACAGGTTTATGTAGAACTGCCCTACTGGGATTCGTTGCATCGTCTCCTATTGTCTCCTTGAACAACTGGAAATTACGATGCTGCCTGACACAAAAAATAGAAAAGAGAGCTTTGTCAGTCAGGTCTTTCCTCTTTGGTATGAATGTTTACTCTATACTGTCCTTGGATCTCTGCTTAGAAACTTGAGTCAGCCATAGCCAAATGGTGATGCACGTCCATGTCTTATGGCACATTCAGATGGGCAGCCTGCTCTGCAGCCTTGCCCCAAGATTCAGAGAGATAGATGTATGACAACCGTTGGCAGAATCAGCTCTTTACATCCTCATTCTAGGTTCATACTGATATGCTAAGAGTTTTCCCTCTGCCACCCACACCTAAGAGGAGAATTCGGAGGTGAAAATGTAACGGTAATTGCTTTGTCTTGGTTGTTAAATGTTTTCTCAACTGTTTAGTGAAATCGTGCTTTTGAAAGTCTTTGGTAAACATTCTGTGCTGCACCTCAAGGAAGAAAAAATGTAAATGAAAAAAGAGAATGATCTAGAAACCATGGCAATGTTTTGGAGAGAAAAGACGTAGGATACCATGTCTCAGTACTGGATTGTTCTCAGGGAGTGGCAGTGTTGGGATAATGGATTTTGGTTGAAGGGAAATGGAAAATGCAGTCGAGATGAAAAAAGAATAATTTTCCTATTCTCTGTTTTGGGAAGTATCTTTAAATCTTTACTGCTGTTTTGACTGACGTTCTCCTAAATGGGGAGTTTGAAAGCTTCTTTCCCCAAGCTAGTTATTCATTTCCTGCTGATTGTTAGTATTTGCAGATCACCCGTGTGATTCAGTTTATCTAATGGCAACACTCAGAGACATGGCTTGTTTCAACCTTGAACCATGTGGTCTTTAGATATTAATTCAAACTCAGTCACTTCTGAACCCCTGTCCTCCTGGGTAAGGCAGAAAGGGTCATTAATGAGCACTGACTGCTCTTGACTGTGCCACCTTCAGTACCAAAATTACCTGTCTCAACTACTCATATAATTTGTGCAATTCCTCCACATAGGACAGGTTTCTCTCAACAAGGAATTACTCTTCTGCCTTTGTCAGAACACTGAGAAGTAACATAGCAAAATCTCTCCTTTACTTCTTCAGAATCCCAAGCAGGCCAGAAGTACTTTTTGATAACCCACATCTTCTTCCTGTCAGGCCAACCCGAAATGCATCCCTTTTAGGAATTGTCTTGCCTTGAGAAAATTGAATGAACCTTTATCTGGCCAGGTGAGGAAAGCCCCAAAGCAGAAAGCAGACTGAGATAAGCAGGTTGACGAGCTGTGGTGAGCTGCAGAGCGACTGCAAGTGTGCTTATTTACCTCCTGGGTCCAACTAACAGTGATCGAATGACTGATAGAGACAGAGGCTCCAGCAGCAGCCTGAAGCTTATTAGAAGTTTTCTAAAATCCTGCAGTTCAATATAACACTTTAGCTGCAGAGAAAATAAGAGATAGCACTACAGGAATCTGATCAATAAGAAAAAGAGATTCTGAGATTGCAGCTCTCAGGGCTGTATTAATGGACATTTTTAAATTTGCTTTAGAATGTGTTACCAAGGACAAAAATCATGGAGAAATGAATCCGTATGGCTTGAAAATAACACCATTCCAAAACTTCAATCTTTCAAAATGGGAAATACTTGGTGATTCTGTTGTTTGAACAATTCAATTTATCTGACTTTCCTACTGCTCAGCCACACAGTTTAATTTTTTGTTGTTTTTCTTAATTTGAAACCCGTTTGCTTTTTAAACAACCTGAAATACTCATCCCAGATCATATTTTCCCCCAAACTTGTATATTGAGCTAATAAACTTAGGTCTTTCAAAAGATTTGAATTAGCAATTAAAGTCCCTATAAGCAAGCAATTTGTTTTACCTCCTTCCAACTGGCAGTGTGATTCCTGTGACTCTTTCCCAAAGAGTCTCTCCCAAGAGGTGATTAATAAGGCGGATTAATGTTTGCATATCTTACACTCCGTTTCCCACTAAAATATGGGAGTCCACCTTCAGGATTGCTTTCTTACCTGCTAAAAGAAGGAAAAACCCAGACCAAATTCACATGCTTAGAAGCCCCTTCTATATCTTCCTGTTAACCTGAGCCCCTTCTAGAGTGATTTGGAATACTTGTCCTAGGCCAGGAACCTTTAAGCTCCACGTGACTGCAGTAATTAACAGAACTTCCGCCTTTTTGAAATCTTCCTGGCAGATGTATCTGGAGATCAACTTAGTGTCTGTTCTACCTATTGAACTGGTTGTTACCAGATGCTTAAAATGTTATACTAGGGTGATATTTAATTTATTGTCTTCAATTTAAACCAATATTAAAAATACCTGTCTTGGACCAGCAAGATAACTCTGTGGGTAAAGGCACCTGCCACCAAGCCTGACAACTGAGTTTGATCTCTAGAACCCATATGGGGGAAGGAAAAAACTAACTCCCTACCTCGGGTTGTTCTCTGACCTCCACGGGTACACTGTGGCATACATACACATGTGTGTGCTCAAACGTGAACACACACACACATACACACACACACACACACACACACACACACACATGACTCAATAGATAAATAATACCTGTCTTGGAACACAGCATTTTGCAAATAGTGTGGCCTTATGGCTATTGTTTGGTTTTATCCTGATTTAAGGAATATTCTGGTGTCAAATATGAAAAACAGAACAGAATCAGCACCAATAGCATCTGTAAGCCACCAAGTACAATGATGGAAACACATCTAGACAATGGTTTCCTGCCATCCTGAAAATATAGCGTCTCTGGCCTGTCATTCTAAACTGAGCTCATTAGCCCAATGCTTCTCTATTTCCTGCCCCTAATAAATAAATGCTGCATTCACACTTGTATAATTACACCTTAATGTGTATGTGCTTTTAAATTTCCAAAGTATTTTGACATCTGTTTTATCTCCTTTCAGCACAAACAGGGTGCCTGACACACTAGGGTTGTGCATCTAGCACATGGCAGAGAAGCATTTAGCTCTAACTTCTGTGGAGATAAAACAGCAAATGTAAATATGGGAAATACACCAGATGGTAGAAAATATCCTCACTATTTAGGGCCTAATTGCAACACTTCAAAATTGTCTTGAATGATACTTTGGAGAGTCAGAGTACTCTTGAAATGAGTAAAAAAAGAATGCTGGAATTAATGATGTTCAGGAGCCATGTTCTATGGGCTTAGGAAGAACAGGGGGAAAGTTTCCACATGCTGAAATGGCCATTTATGGAAGGCCTCCATTTGCAGAAATACATTGGGAAAAATTAAATACTCTGGATGGTCTCACAAAATAAAAAGCAACTCGAAACAGTAAGAGAAATACAGACTTTGGCACCAGTTAGCAGTTTAGATATCAGCAAGGAAAATTAATAGTGCAGAAGTCCTTGTGTTTTGAATGCTCTCGTGGAAATGAAAATAAAACAAAGCCCCTCAATATCGCCTGGGGCAATATGTTAGAGAGTCTAAAAGCCTTTCCTAAATTCTTTCTAAATCATTAGAAAATTAATTCAGTTGAAAGTCTTAATATTTCTTGATATACACAGAATTACCTAATATGTATGACTAGATCAATTAGTTCCTTATTTGAAAGCACTTTGCATGTATTAGTTCTACAGATCTTCACTTTTTTGATATTATTAAAGGAAGGGAAATAGAAACAGCCATGTGGAGGCCCTGCTGCAGCCAGGTCCCTGCCGGGGATTTCTCGTGCAATTCTCTTATTTAATCCTCCAAACAGCCCATCTACACATGAGGAAGCCAAGGTGGGTGAGGGCCTTGCCTCACATCGGGTAAGTGGCAGCTTTCTAAGACTCAAGCCTTCTGCCTAACCTATAGCCCTGTTCTCCTATAGCCCCAATGCCCTGTGGGTTTCCTCTGCATTAAAATGCTGTAAAATAGTTTGATGACAGCTCAACAAACAGCAATTTCTCATGTGCTGTAATAAATTACATAAATTACATTTATGTAGGCACAATGAGTGTAAAAAATCACGAGTAGCTTAGTGAAATCTTAATGAAATTAGCTCATGGCTGGCATGAGGAAACCTATTAAATGAAAAGCTATAAGGTTTATACGCTGGTCCTCCTGTAAACACTTTTCCACCTTGGCAGTGCTCTGTCCTCCCATCTGCATAAAGCTTTGTGTGTGGGTGTGGGAATACTATACATGTATGTACACAGCGGTATTCTTATGTGGGGTGTTTCTCCAAATGGTAAACCTGTTTCCTTAGTGGTTTCTCGGTTGGAATTCTGAGTTGATTTCCTTCTAGCTGTGTGACAGGATCAAGCCATGGGGTATATCTGAACTTTAGTTTACTTGGCTGAAATAATATAATGCTTGTTTCTCAGGTTTGTATCAGATAATATAGGAAAAAGTATATTCTAAACTGTAAAGACTGGATGGATGGATGGATGGATGGATGGATGGATGGATGGATGAATGGATGGATGATGGATGGATGGATGATGGATGGATAATGGATGGTTGGATGGATGGATGATGGA